AATGAGTGCCGCAGTACTGGCGCTCATGTGCTGAAAATGGCGGCCGACCCCACCCGCGAGGAAGACATGCAAAAACTGGTCGACAAAACTATGAAGACTTTCGGACGAATCGACATTTTGGTCAACTGTCCCGTCAATCACGAGAATTGTCTCCCGAAACTTAGCCATAAATGATAGGTCAACAATGAGGAGGACCTGTCATTTATGGCTAAGTTTCGGGAGACAATGCAAACACATCTGGAGGCCATGGTATTCATGACCAGCATATGTGTGGAGCACCTGGAGAAGACCCGGGGCACTGTCATCAACATGTCCACCATTAGAAGCTTTCAGGCTGTATAGTAGTTTCCATATTGACCTATATTGACCATGCTTCAATTAATATCTATTTTATGAATAGGTTTCGGAAGAATCGGCGTATTGTATGGCAAAGTCGGCGATTGATATGTTCACCAAATGTATGGCCACTGAGTTGGGACCCAAAGGCATACGAGTTAATAGTGTTATATATGTCGTGCTCTCTCTCTCTCACTCACTCACTCACTCCCATTAATAATGTTTATACCGTCCATACCTATAGTGACGGTCCAATCGCTCCTTACCCTTGGGATCCAAACAACACCCCTAACCCTAACGACCCGTTTGTCGAATTGGCGCCGAAAATGCCGGTGAAAAGGGTTGCCGTTTCCGACGACTTAGCATTCGCTGTGCTATTATTAGCGGCACCGGAATCAGCGTTTATAACCGGCACTAATATGTTGGTTGATGGGGGCTATACCGTTGCAGGCCTATAATAAACTCAATTTCTATAATCAAGGCTGAAGTTTAGAATAATTAAACAAGTACTAAATTAATTCTTGGTAGTTTTAACACTTACAAGTTAGTAGATTTGTAATATAATCATATATGGTTTAATTATAATTATTTATGTTATGAAATAATATTTTATTCAGAATGTTGTCGTGTTTTGATTAAATTTGAAAAATTATTGTTTTGTAAATTATTTTACAATGCATAAGATTATTACAGGTTTTACCAAAATGCTATTATTGACTAAATAATTATTTCTCAGAATTATTTACAAATTATTATTAAAATAAAATATAAAAAACTTAAAATTTTTAATTTTATTTTAATTATATTAAATATTAATTTTGACTGTTAAGTTCCCATAGTATTGACATGAGCTATTTATGGGATAAGCTATTTAACTGTTGCCAAGTAGCTAACTTATAAAACTTATCGCCATTTAAAAACTAATAATTAGATTTTATTGAGTTTGGTTTTATATGAAAGTTCATTTTGTGTCTATAAAGTGTACTTTCAATTTTTGTCCTGTAAATCATTAATAACTTTTCATTAATTTATTCATAATTTTAAGTCTACCGGTTTCGTGACAATCATAATTTTAAAATCTTTTCTGATCGACCTGTATCTATACAATAGTATAGATAATAACTTGTTCGACCATTTGGGATTCAACTTGTTAATTGTATTCACCACGCTGAACACCATATATCTGACAATGTTTTCTATATTTATATTATCGATGGTAAATGAGGTAGCAGCCATACGAGACTTTAAAACACCCTGGTGTTTAATAGTATATCGTGCGCCGCCCAACTCATTGTCTCATGTTTTATATGCGGTCGGGTTTGGGATAAATGTGCGGATATTATGTTCGTTTTGGACGACATTCGTGTGGATATGCTGTCGGAAAGGGAGCGCAAGGAATGGCTTATGTTTGTGAATGTCGTACGAAATACGCGTACATTTGGGTTTACTATCGGAGGGTTCGCTGCACTCAATAAGTTTAAACTTATTGCGGTAATCCGTATAATAGAATTAAACTAGGTCATTTATTTGTAAAATGTATTAATTGATAAAATTATTTGGCAGATATACTCGTTCATATTAAATTATACAGTGATTATGCTACAAACTAGAAACAGTAAAATTTAATTTATTAAAAAGACTTATTAACAATTTATATATTGTGTACTTTTAAGCTTATTATTTATTTGTTACATATTCAAATAATAAACATATTAATGAAAAAAATTAAAAAGAAATTTAATGTAGTATTTATACAAACAAATGTAATATAATACTTATATCATTGCAATAAATAAATCTGTTTATTTATTACAATTTTTAATTATACTAATGTAAATGATAGTTTAATAATTATTTTGTTTACAATAATATTTAATATTCATATGAAAATGACATTTACAAGTCTCTTAACCTAAATTAAAATTTACTTTAACAAAACATAAAACTGTATTAAACAAAATAACACTCCCCGTTGATTTCAATAAAATGATGAGAATTTCAAATAAACATTTTACCTTGATATTACGTTCAATTCTATGTCTACAAAGACTTACAGGCATAACCTATGGTGGTATAGACTTTGATAAAAAGGGTCGTATTTATGTGAACACATTTTGAAAATTCTGGGCATATTTAGCTACCTGTGCGATAATTGTGCTTGAATGTTTAACCATATACAGTATTTATGCTACGGGAATGGATTACTTTGATGCCAATACTTTCGGTATATTTTTAAAGTATGCAATGACATTATTAATGGCACTTTGTATTATTCAAAATATTTACATTTCGTACTTTATTAACAAGCATGGATTTCATATATTAGCTATTGTATATTATAAGATTGGTCATTTTTACAAAATTGTACCCAAAATTAGCATCACTATTTGTTTTACATTATTATTATGGTTGGCCCATTTTACCATAATTATTATAATATTTTCCTATATGATACCTCTCGCTCAGGGTCAGTGGCCAATATACATTGGTAATTTGGAGCATTCAATAATTTTATATATTATATGGACCATACCGCTTATTATCTGGACGATTTCGCTATATTGTGCTAGTTTACTTGAGTTTCTACAAGTAAATTTAGCCAATATATTAAACAACAGTAAAGGTAGTTGTATAATTTAATTTAATTTGCTAACAATTTTATAACCTAAATGTTATTTATTCTTAACAATGTCAATGTTTCATATTATATTGTATTTCTTTTATATACAAAATAAATATTAATTTATTAATATTTCTAATAGGTGGATCATTTAAAATATATTTTCAATACTACAAACAAGTATTTATCACAATCAATAATGCTATCAACGAAATACGCGTACATTTGGGTTCACTATCGGAGGGTTCGCTGCACTCAATAAATCCACACTTATTGCCGTAATTAATAGTTTTGAAAAGTTTTATTTTAAAATTATTATTTAATGTTTATATTAATTTTGTAGATATTCTCGTTCATATTGAATTATATGGTAATTATGCTGCAAACCAGGAGCAAATAATTAATAATTTTGATTTCATTCAGCTATAAGTATTCACATATTGTACAGTATATTATAATATATGAATAATACCAAAATGGTGACATGAACTCTGCTTACAATATAACTGACTACCATTAAAAACACTATAAATTTTATAAGGGTGTTTGTTTCAATATTTATTAATTATCAGTGAAAAGAAGTTTAAAAATAAAATTATGATAATCACCAAACGTTTTCGATCTACACTGAGACCATCATCAGGGCTTAAGATGTTAATAGAGATTATGATATGATTGTCGTTTAACTGGTGTTTCAATTATGAGATCTCGCGAAACGAAATATTGTTAAAATTGAAAAGTTATGAATTTTTTTTAGAAATCTATGCCAAACATAAGGAATGGATTCTCCGCTATTTCTATTCATTAAATCATTTTCTTTCACTTTTGGTATTTCAATCGCTTCGTTAAACTTGCGGACAAAGTCTTTGTCACAACTTTTTATGACCCGAGCGTTGGTCCAATCGATGGTATGATTTGAGTGAACGATGTGTTCAGCGATGGGAGAGATGTTTGTCTTCTTATAATAGACTGCTTTGTGGTGTTCTTTGAGTCTGACTTTGAAATGCCGTTTCGTTTCCCCGATATATGTCTTATCACATGAATTGCATTCTATTCTATAAACGCCACTCTTTTGGTCTTCAGATACTTTACTCTTATGATTATATAACTGAATATATATATCATTTCTAAGTCTTTGATAACAAATCCTTGAGTTATATTTCTTGAATATTGAACCGATTGAATGGAAATATTAATTTTGTTTTTATTTTATATTACTCATATAGTTTATGGCACCCTTTCGTATATTCCCATCTAATTTTGTTTAATTAAATAAATATGAATATAACTGAACCATTAAATACTCAAAAGGTAATACGCCATTGTAATTTAGCAAACCAATAAATTGCACGAATTCGTAAAAACAAATTTAAATTATTTTTTTCGATTAAAACTATTTTTAATTAATTATTAATCCCTGAACTGTTTAGTGTTATGAAAGCCTCTCCAACGCCTAATCTAAGTAACGCTATATTTGAACCTAAATCTCGTGTTATTTGCTTGTGTTGTGTGTAATAAAAAAATTAGTTAAAAATAGTTATAATTTTGTTAGCAAGATATATTTACAGGATATATAGGGACCAACAGCATATTTATTTATGAATTGACCATGGCATCATTTGCCATTACAAACAAAAGTCGTAAAAGTGCAATTTAAGTACAAGTTATAATAGTTATAAAGTTTTCAACAATTCAATATAAGTATATTTAATATTAAAGTTAATGATCTAGCATAGATTCAACATTAATTACGATGTCATTAAAACAATTGACTAATTATTGTAACCTTGATGTCTGAAAAAGTATGACAGTATAATTTAACACAAATGTAAATATCTGTAAAAATAAAATATATAAAATTTAAAAATATATAATAATTTCAAATAATTTTATACCGAAATAAGTGTGGATTTGTTGAGTGCAGCGAACCCTCCGATAGTGAACCCAAATATAGCGTTACTTAGATTAGGCGTTGGAGAGGCTTTCATAACACTAAACAGTTCAGG